TTACTTTAAACAGGCCAAAATAAATTATTAATTGGAAGTATTGAACGATTGATTGTATGTAGTACCCAACTAAAACCGTCACAGGTTCATGTTTTTTTTTTCAGTAAGTGACTTTTCGTCAATAACCACATATGCATAATCTCAATATGAGTGGTTATTTATAATTGTTTCATTCAAGAAGATTGGACTCATTAAGAATTACGTTATCCCCTATGTTACTTGATAAAAGGATATTCGCTGTGAACAACTGTTGCTAGTCCTTTCCTTAGTCGTTTCTTTTTTTGCTCCTTTTCATCGATAATAGACTTATTGGAATGTCTTCTAAAGACTCAGCGATAAATGCCACGAGTTTGGTAAATAGCAAACTGGATAGGTGTAAGTAAAGAATGCATGCACTGATGCATAAGAGGCTCCAACTGTGGAGGCGACGCGTGGACACTTGCCATCAGGTGCACTGTTGATGATCAAACATTAACGTATTCTGTAGCTTGCTGCATTTTATGCCAAAATGTTTCTACCTTTATTGGTGGAATTCATTCCGAATGAAAGTATGACGAAAAATGAAAGCAATATTTTAGAGTGAGTCAAAAAACTGATCGCAGCAAACTAATCAACTATTGATAAACTGATGAATGCTGCTGTTGTCAACAATAATGAACTAAACAACGCAAAACTTGTGAAATGGTGAAATGAAAAACGGATATGAATTCGAAGCATTAAACATGCTTCGATTAGATTGAACAGATTTAAACATGATTTGAACAGATTTAAACAAACATAAACATTAAACAGATTTAAACATGCTCGGATTAAAATGGACGTTAAATTCGTTTATGCGTTTACTTTTATATCATTGTAACGAGTTATGGGCGGCAAACCAGTTAACTGATGCATAAGAAAGTTGAAAATTCTAATTCCATTTTCCGTGGCTTATAAACTTTTAAAATATTCAACAGAATCATATAAAAGAGGTATTATATCTTCCTCTCCTCACTTAATAATATTCTTCACAACTTATCAGAAAAGAGGAAATTCTCTAAAACGCTAGCTGAACTTTTAATATTTCCAATTAAAAACGGTGCACAATTATCTGGACACTGATCGTTATGACATCATTTTTATATTACACAATTAATTCCTTCAGCAATCGAAATGCCTGAACTGAAGGTCTGAATACTACAAAATTGCTGGAATTTATTGTGACAAGTTGATTACGTTCAAAATATTTGTACTTCAGATATCCTCCAAGTTTCTCGGTTATTCTTAGAGCACTTTATGGAATCAAGTTTACGAACAGTGAGACTGCTTAAACCTGCGAACTTCATTTTACAAGACGTGGATGAAAATTATTATGTTACGGAGGACTTCCAATTTGGATGAAAAACAAAATGATGGCATGCATCTCATGAATGGCATTTCATAGCATACCATAGAATAGCTTGACAGAGGAAAACTTCTGTTTGAACCTATCGCCCAATCATCACGAAGCGAAATCCCAAGTGACATTCCATGTTGAAAGAGATGCCAACTTTAGAAAGAAAATTGTAGAAAGAAAATTCTCCAAACACCTTGTTGGATAATGATCGCACTCGCTGGAATCTGTCCCACTGACAACGACAACCGTTGAAGATGCGATGGCAAGTGACTACGTTAAAAAAACAAAAACCATTCGAATATGCTGGTCACGTTCAGAAACCATTTTCCTACCAGTGTTTTATAACCATTTTAACAACTTTTTCAGTACGGCTTCTTGTTTCAAATTTCTCGGTTTCGTGCATGCAAATTCGCTTGTTATCGTTAATTTAGGTACTGCCCTATAATAGATAAGAATTTATATAAGCTCATCTTTCGAAATCAGCTGTGAAACGCTAGACCCGTATTTTTTGTCGCGACTAGCACGAAAAGCTAGCATAGAATGATAGTACTAAAAGAGATAGATAGTACTTGAGTCAAATAAGAAACATTGTGCAATGGGCCGATTCCGATCAGTTCAGAGGGTGTGAGTTCGATTCCGCGTCGGTCCAAAATCTTTGACAAAAAGTTTGATCTCGAAGAGATAAACACACAAGAATATCTCACTTCAAGAGACATTCAAAAAAGGGCTTAGTTTCGACATTTTTCAAAAATCTTTTTCTAATAGCTCTTCGTTGATATAGCACGAATCGATGGCGTGGTCATCACAAAATTGCTTGTGATGAATGGCCAAAGTATGTATCGATAGATTAGGTTTAGTTCAAGCTTAGTTTAATAATTAAGGATTCGATTCATCAGTGCTCATCGACTTCGTTATGAGAAACATTGCGAGTACATATATTCTCAAGAATCAATAGAACACTTGCGATTAGATTTTGTCGCGATTAGATAATCACGAAAAGGAAAAAAGTTTAAAATGCGAAAAGAAAATGATTCATGAATTTACAACGTTACCATAAGAATCTAAGAAGACTGAACAAAGGCAAGATAGGAAATGTGATAAGAAGGGGATTAAATATAAGCCATCATAAGGATTATTAATAAAAACGAATAAGAACAACATGAGAATATGAATATCGAAAGTAAGAATGGCGAATCATTCATCCCACATTTCTTGTTCTGTACGATTTATCTGTATCGTTGTAGATTATTGTAAGCCGTATTACTAATAGTTAAGTTATATTTATTATTAATAGTTAAGATGACTAATGATGTTAATAGTTAAGGTCACAATATTGATAACAGTTAAGATTAATTCGAAATGAGTAATAAGTAATTGGAATTTTTGAATTTAAGAGATATTATCGCGAGGTGTTGATATCATTAATAATGTTATTATTACTGTTAGTATAACACTGTCATCATTATGAATGTCGTTGTTTACGTCGTTATCATTATCGATTACATTTTCCTATGAATGCTATGGCTACGGTTTAATTACCCAAGTTTGAGATTAAAAGATTAACGACAAGTGCGTAAAGTCGTTACAGATTTCATCGGTGACAAGTGAATCGTTTCTGGACGATGCATTCAAAGGGGAGATAAGAGGAAGTGTGAGGTGTGATACGAATTGGCTCTATATGAGTGGTTGATGAGACATTGCATAATCTTTGTCGTGGATCATCCAGGATCATTAAAATTTTATTTCATTACTAATAATTCACTGCAGGTTTCATTTCTCTTTGGGATATTCAGTGAGTAAATGCTGACTGAATCACTGATTCATGACAAGCAACTTGCAATGATCTTGGTTAAATGCTGCTGATGCTGTTAGTAAATGAATTATTTGTCAATAGAATAGTGCCGTGACGAATAACAGTTTGAATGGCCACATTATAAATGGTTCTTTGAAATCTTTAACGCAAAATATTTAACATTTATGACATGTATGGATAATAACTGACAGTCATGCGTGAGTCAAATTCTCGAACTAACTGATTACTGATCAGCTAAACTGATTTTGATCAACCTGTAAATGCTGTGGATATGATAATAATGGCTAAATGAGCAAAAAATCGAAAACAAATATGCTCTCCAAATGAACATTAAATTCATTCTCAATGATATTTGATGGCTGCCGTAAATGGTGAGAAATCGGGAGCAAATTAATTATTTATTGACATCGAAAAATTGAAGCCATTAAAATAAAGCAGTCGTGAATCGTTAAATATTAAAATCATTTCAAAACTACAAAAAATCACAAGTTATTAGCATTTCATAGCGTTGAAAATATGGAATTCTATTAATTCCTGATGAACCTTGACTAGAATGCATTATATTAAATACAAATATTCTCGGCAGACTCGTACTAAATTGAAGCAAAATGAAAATGACAGTTATGAAGGCTTATAGCAACTGTAATTGACTATGAAATATAAAGAATGTCAATTCTTAATGAATGTCAGTTCCGTACGAGTGTCAGTTCTCTATGAAAGTCAAATTCATTCATGATCATTCACTGCTAAATCCACCCCCCAAACCAAAAAAAGCAATGCTCAATTCTGCGGAAAAACAACGCTCAATATTTGATTCGATCGTTCATTTTACATCCAACAAATTATTCATGATGACAGAATCCGTTTGCGGAAAATTTCTATTGTAGATCGATTGAAGCTATTTTATGATATGTTCGTTTTTTTCAGTATCACATTCTCTGTGAATTTTTAGCGAAAATGGGAAGAAAATTTGTAAAATCGAACTGAAAGGCAAGAAGATTGAAATAGCTGATGACGGATGTATTTATTCCATTCATCTGATGGAGATATTGATCTCATCTGAACGAATGCCTTCACCTAATATTAGATGAATTTTTTAAATTCATCTGAATAACTAATAAAATAATTGAAATTCAAATTCATTATTTTCGGTTTTGAATTCATCATGCACACCTATAGAATTCACGATATCGAAGAATGCTCACATAATTTAATAGTTACGCTTATTGGTGGACTGTCAATAATTGAGTTGATATTCGCAAACGTCATTATTCCTTTAACTTGTTCAAAAAACTTCTTTATCATTCACTAGTCTACTGAGTGATCGACGAAGGAGATAGCAGTGTTGCAAAACGCAAAACAAAATCCTGAAACGGACATTAAACCAACACAACTATCTTCGCATTTCCAAAACGATATAAATGTGTGAGAAATAATCTTCGGTTGATACTTCTACTCAGAAACACTGAAATTAGTGGACGTGATGAGTGAAGATATTCAAATGATACATAAGGAAACAAATTGAGAAAGTTTTTGCTGACAATGAATTTTTGCTGAATTTGTTTGACATTATGATAAAGTGACGGCACATTGTGATAAGGGAGTAGTCACATTGAAACTTTACAACAAAATGTAAGAGCGAAACAAACTTTTGATTCCTCTCACATATTCAGTCATCAGGATAATGGTTGGTAAATTTTGACAGTTCTTTAAATCATTTATTTTTTGATGTATTACAGTTATTAGCACAAAAAGTAAAATAATTAATCAGTTGATAATCAAATTGAATCGAACTGAAGATGCCGGTGATATTATTCGTTAATTTCATCAATTTTTACCAATATTCTCAGCATATTTGAAATTACATTTATCATAAACATCGACGAATGCTGGTAAATCATTTCGCTCGATTGCTCTTATAAGACGAATGTCGTTGGCGATTAAAGCAAAGTTCATGGAAACAGCTCGACTGCACTGATCCATCGAACGTGCTGACGTCGTTGTTTCATCGTCATTCACCTCACCAGCACTTTCATAAATTCCCAATGATAAACTGTGGAATATACCCACTTGAACGTCACCGAACGCATTCGTATGACACGTCAAAGCTGCGCCAGCGTCATCCTTAGTGCAATAATTATTTCTAAACATTTCGTTGAACAACTGCGATATCGACAGTATCAACGGTAGAAGTGACAATTTATAGATCATTCTCGAAGACGTTTACTAAGTTACAAAGTAATTCCGTTCCTTGTTTTTTTTGAGTTGAAAATTCGAAACGAATGAAAAATTGAAGACGTTCACACGAAGTAATTTAAGATAAGACGTTCATAGAAAGTAATTTCTGAATGTATAATCAAGTGATGTCGATATCTAGTACACTTACGTGCGCTAGAGATCGTCACGAATTCTTCAATTTGTCAATTTTGTAATGAAACTCCTCTGAATCAAAGAGAAAAGAATGTAAGCTTGAGAATCATGAAAGTATCATGATTTTAGTCGGAAGTTTATTGTAAATTTCACTTGCTTGAATGAGTTATCATATGTGTGTTCTTCGATGAAATGTAGACATGCAGATATAAACGGTACATAGAATTTAACAAATTAAAAATTTCATAAAACATACCCAGCAAGCTGTTCTATTGCTCACTATTGCAGCCTTGTATACAATAGCACCAGTATTCATATTATCGTAAGACGGTTTCAATTTTTCCAGTTGAATCTTTCGAACGTCATGTTGATGCAGGAATGTTGACGCTAAAATTCAAAGAAGAAGCCATCGTTTGCCCGATTTATTTCTCAGATTCATTTCCGATTAATGATTACGATAAGGAACCAACAAAGTGACAATTGTATGTGGGATTTGCAAGGAAGTGGAAGAATTTTATTGGAAGTGATGACCATGATAAGTGGTTGCGAACGCTGTTATCCAACAGTCTCGTTCAGTAAGTGATGAATGATCAATTGTTTCCATTGATGATTTGGTCAGTGATACACGAACGTTCAATTGTGAAACGCGTACTGGTGCTGGATTAGGTGGACATAACTGCAAATATCAAATCGTAGACAGTCATCACATCTTCCGATCGTGATATGCTGAATACGAATATATACTACCACTCTTGGATTACATTTCGATGGTGCATCTAATGAGTGAGACGAGAGATGAGAACGCTTGTGCTAATTGTAATTCGTGAGCACAAAAAATGAGCACATGAACTCGAAACAAACATCTTTGACTGGAAGTTTTACGATTTTGAGAAGTGCCCATGCATCAGTAACATTCAAGATCTCAGCGCGTAATGTTCTTGGTACACGAAATGTCGGTACATTAACAGCAACTTCACCAAATCTGAACTTACAAAGATTTGATTTAGCAGTCATTCAATATTGTCATCAATCGGTAATAATACTGGATGAATATTATCACCATTCGCACTATCTTTATGGACATCCACTCGAAATTACCGTGCTCATTCGTCTCCATTTCTATTCTTTCAGTAAAGCAATTTTCAGCTCTTCAATTACCGACGGTAAACATGAAGACTTTAAAGAATCGAGCTTTTCCGTACGATTTCACTCTGAATCCTCTTTCCAATTTTGTTCCCACTTCTAACGAGCAGTTCATGCACATATCTTGTGAGAATCGTTTCAGAGAGATTGTTAATTTTCCTTGTTGATTGCAAATTCAAGTGAGAAAATGTAGTTATGATGGGTGAATGAACTTTGAAACATAGGCAAGTGTAAACCTTTCATGAGTGGTTGCATTGCGAATGCAATTCGGTGCCGTAAGCACCAAAGAAGCCGATATAATTGAGCCACTACAGCTGGTTACAATGTTTGAATTTGGTTCACGAGAAAATATCTATGAAAGATCGGATTGTTTAAGTGAATTGTAACCACGAATCTATTGAAAAATATCATCCCAAAGATAGAGAACGTGGCAGTTCATTTCATTTATACCAAGTACTACGATCAGAATGTTAATTCAGCGAATACGCATTAATTTTATATTTTGTTATCATGATTTAATGGATAAATTGAACTAATTTGATAATGTTCAGAGTAGTTCGGTAACTTTCAGTTGACACGACAACATCAAAATAACACTTTCTGAACAAAAATAAAATCACCTTCACGAGATAACCGTGTCGATTCCACTGTTCTAGTTCGCCATTTATGATCGACTCAACTGGTTCGAATAAGACCAAAACAATGAACGCTATTACTGTATTGAGGACCAGCATTTATCGGTAGCTGATTTTCTGAATTTGATCAATATTTGTCCAATGGTAAAAAGCAGAAACGATATGTAAGGAACGCCGTCGAAACTTGTGTGTGTAGGTGATACAATTAAAATTGAATGCAGCAATCATTGGGTTATGCTAATGATTGGGTGATAAGTCAGGCTGAATACCACAGTATGTTGTCAACTATCATTTTGGAAAGTCAGTAATCAAGGAAAGATCTTTGACTGCTTCTTCCTTCTTTATGTTTGTGCATCAGACTTTTTCGAGTGTGCATCAACAATTTAGCAAAGGGGACGTGACATCATGTTTGTGCACTGACTTTCCCTACAGTCGCCTTATTTCATCAATTAGGAGATATAATCTCAAACTTAGTCACGACGTTTGTCTGGTGGCGGAGTCCGTCTATCAGGATGTACTTGTCTGACAGCCGATGAATGTGAGTGAATGAGGATTTGAATTTCTCTGAACAAACCGACATAGCCGAATGCTAGCCATGCATTAAATAGAGCCTGCTATTAATGAGAGTTCTATGAAATTACGCTCATGAATGCAGTCACTTTATATGCATGCAAATCGCTATCTGTTAGACAGAGATTGTCTCACATCGTAAACACTTCCGTAATTTAAGCAATGGATGATACTGTAGGAATAATGCATGATTTTACTGCAACTCACTAATTACTTGGATATGCATAACAAAACAGCCAAGAAACATCAAATCTACCGTAACTCAGTATAACTTATTCATGATGCTCATACTGCCATCTGTTCAAAAAAATAGTCTGTTCAAAAAATAAATTAAGTTCGCACAGAAAATGGTAATTAAAGTGGTAACAACAGAAGAAAGCAGCCGCATGGCAATTAAACAGGGCACATAAAGAGTTCTCACTTTTGAGCAACATGAAAGGTGCTGATGTTTACAGATTGCATACCTGAGGCGGTTGAACGCATGAGATTGTAGTGAATCAACAACAACATAAGATTTAGATAATAATTCCTTCAAACAGTTCTTCACTTTCAAAATCAAAACATTGTTCTGTTTGCTCAGCAATTCTAAAATCTCAATATTTCTCAGATCATTTACATGCCAATATCACCGCCTCCTATGAGCAATACCGTACTTATCATCAAATATTTGAAATCCTCATAAATCAAGAAATGCTCCTACCGCTGGTGTCAGATAAATCAATTTTGTGAACGAATAGCAAATTTTAATGAGATGAAAAGTCGTTCTCAATGATGACCCATGATCGATTGGTCGTTTGATGTCGTTCAACGAATATGAAAAGCAATCAAGAAAAGTGATCAACCTCACAGAAACGCACTACACAAAATGAAACCAATACCCGTTCCTTCAGTAAATGCTTATATGAACTTCACTACACATATTCTCTACGAAGTGGTCCACAAACAGGGACGAATTTTCAAACGAAGTTGTGTTCTGAAAGCAAACACAAATGTTTTCATTGATAGACTAATGTTGCATGCATCACACTGGTTAATAATCGAACCAAAATCTTGTTGATGTAAAATTCATTGATAACTGACGTGAGAGAAACGATTGCAGTCATCATTAAAAAGTGCGAGATATTACGATCGAAAATAAACACAGACACACAAAAGCAATAATTATAAACAAACAGCCAACGAACCGTCACGAAATTCTTTCAAACGGAACAAAAACGCTAACAACATAACAAAATTCGAATGCTTATAAATGTAACAATAAGATTGCAACAATTCTTTTCGATGTACACAAATTGTGAAGTAATTTCAAGAGAACTTCCGTCCATCATCCTGATATAAATTTTGATGCATGAATAATTGTAAACATAGGAGTAGTCAGTTAGGCAGATAACTGAACGATTAACAACAAAACTGAAACACTCTGACATTCTTAATGATGAACGTTTGACAACTCAGAAAATGATAATTTTAAGCAGGTGATCAACAGAGAAAGACGAAAACTTCTCAAAAATTTACGATACAAGAACATCCGAACACATACAAAAGCAATGAAATTGCAATAATTCCTAAGAGATAACAACTGAAGATAACGAAATGATTAGTACCACTCTAACTTGATAGAACCATTCATCCCCTTCGCCGATGAAATTACGATCTTGAAAATTCTCGTTCATTGTCAGATGAGAACATCCATTGTGGAAGATAAACAGGCAAGGAAAAAAGTTATTATTTTGGAGGAAAACTCTGTCGAACGGTGATCAGATCAGTAATTAATCACTACCTGGTGGGATATTCACATTTTTAGTCAACATAGCGAAGACATTTGGATCGGTATACGAATTCGAATCGAGTGATAAAAGCAGAGGTTTCTTGTGAACGAATACAGTGGCCAACGGTAACCAAAGTTTGTTGATATCAGGCGATCGCGCGGCATCAACGACATCCTCACAAGTGAATCGTAATGCTCGTTTATTCAGCAGAAATCCGTAATGAACGCTCGTGAATATCTTCAATTATCAATGCATTAATTCAGTAATTGTTTTCGATTGTTTTCACTCGTTTAGACCACAAAAACATTCACGAAAAGACCACAAAATGAATCGCCTTCATTTCAATGCGTCAAACTTGAACATTGATAACAATACGAACAGAGTTCATTTATGAAAATACAAAGATATTTGTTTGAATATCAAGCTGCATCTAGTAAAAAATGGTACAGTACTTCATAAGAGACAATAGCACAATTTCACTCCATTGGATAAAGTGGCAAAGAAATTGCAAGAAAACTGGTTGTGGCAAAGAAATTGGGGAAAAGATTGCAAGAAAGGGACTTGGAATCGTACAGAAAACGAAGAATTGTAACCAAATGAGATGAATTTTATTCAGAAATCAAAATGAAACAATTACAAAAAAGAACCTTTGTTTTATGATTGTAATAAATATCGACAATGAAACGCTTCACCAAAAATTGCAGCAGTAACGGTGTTAACGAGAGTAACGTCAAAAATGTGTTTGAAACTGAAAAGAGATTAATATTCTAAAAATTCGACGAATCAAAATTATTCTGATCGCGATATAATATCAAAAATATATCACTGACACAAAGTCATCTCATACGAATGGAATATCCTAGTGTGATGCGGGATGAACTTTTGCAGTTGGGGGCCCCAGATATGTCGTCGGCCAAAAGTCGGAGATGAGGTCTCCGAAATTCTCCAATCATTAGCATTGCTGGACGGAATGAAAGTCGGAGACGGAGAAGATCGGTGATGAAATTCTCCAGTCGGGAACCCCGAAAATGTCGTCGGCTCGAAGAATGTCGGGGACGGAGATGGGGTCCCCGAAATTCCACGGTCCCCGCACCATATTAGAATATCCCGTAGTTTCTTTCCAATACTACTGTTATGTTTGTCACCAGATTTAAAAATATACGACGCTTCTATTCCATTAATAAAACCATCACTAATTCATTGCACTTGCACATAATTCAGCACATGAAATAAACCTGCATCACGCTAAAATATGCTCATACTGAAATAAAATGCAATTATTAACGAAATGTGAGAGAATTACATAAGCGAACTGAACGTACCGATAACGAACAACATCATCGAAGGTTGCTCAGATGCAGCAGCCCATAGGTAAGAGGAGAGGACAGGTACCATAATGAGACCCAAGCCAGAACTAGATAACGACAAGATCTATAAATGGCAATCAATATGAAATCGACATTCGACATGAAATATCTCTTTACCATCTACCCACCAGGAAATTGGTTGACTTATAATGATTCGGAATCGCTGTAACTGAATCAACGAAGCTACTTGAAGGCTGCTCGTTATTATTGTTTCAGATTGTGTAACACAAGAAGAACAGTATCAAACAAATATGCTCACGAATAAATATTACATTCCATACAGCTTCAAGTAACAGCTGACCACGTGTAGTCCACGTACACAGAAATAAATCAAGTTAATGAAACACANACACAAATAATCAGACACCTTAGTGATGAAAACACCTCGTTTCAATAGTTCATGTGCTCCATTTGCCGAGACCCGTCGCCCTGAATCGTTCCGATACAATATCGACGTACCAAGTTCATCAGCTGGGATCGAAGCAAAGCTAACGGGCGTTTTGGATATCACTTTTTGTGCTCCTGAAACATGAAAAAGTTTCTGCAGTACGTATGAAAGTTCCTAAATGCTGACAGACTTTGAACTAAATTGATCAATGAACAGTGAACTAACGAAGAAAACATCGGCAAAATTTATCCGACGATTCGAATTTAATGAACTTTTTTTGGTGATTTAAGTATGTTCCCTTTGACAACGACATTCATAAAGCACCAATAATAATGATCGCTACAATCACAAAACTAAATTTATTTCCCAACCACGAGCAGCAAAGTGGAACGAATCTCTTACATCAACATTTTTGTTGCGTTATTACACAGTAAAAAGAGAATTTTTCAGTTAAAAATCGCTCAGTGATACCAAACTTTTCTTGAGTTGATTGCTATTAAAAAACTGAATTCAGTGCGCATTTACTCCAAATTCTTGCATAAATTCAAAAGAAATTCTGAAAAGTGATAGGCAAAGAAAACAAACCTGACTGATGCGATAACAAGCGACAAGTTGTGCACACACATTTTGACTGGATCCTAATTGAATAATGTAAAATTTTACTAAGTGAAGAAAATACATTTGAAGATCGGATACAACATCGTATTAACATTTCTGAAAACACGGAACAATTCAACTGTACAAAATCACTTCCACACCTTCCGTAATAAGTAATTTCGAAGAAAAGGACTGATTCTCCAAAAAGCACGGAAATTGTTTTAAATCAATAAGATAATTTCTGGATATTTATATTGGAAGTACTGTTTTTGAAGTATTATTGATCTAACATATATGGACGAAATGTTCTCAAGTTAGAATTTCAGAAAACGCGGCCTCTGCGATCACCGATTCCATAAACAGTAGATCGAAAGTTACAAATGAAACTGTGGTAAATAATCATTTCTTGTGGAAACCACCAACGTTCTTCAATAATATTTTGCCTGCTGAATCGAAATTTCGTAACCAAAAGTGAACCAATGGAACAATAACGTACACAATGAAATAAAGAAGAGATTAAAACTCTGTGAACAATACAATAAACCAAAAATAAATGTTTTCTATATTTACATATACAACTAGATTAGTGGCCGATAAAAGCAATATGAATATAACAAGTAAGATAAACCATTCAATAACATCAATAAATGAATTCAGTTAGAAGGAATCGAACTCAAATTATCACAAAAGAGAGTAACAGCATCTTTTAATACAAATGGTTATCAATTCAAATAAAAACGAGTAAACGACACAATGAAGCAAATTCGAATTGGTGAACAAATTTTAAGAAATAATAAAATTTAAGGAAGTGAAAAACATTTGAAACTAGCATAATGAATCACTTTCTTGCATAAATTTGTTGTCTGTAAAAAGGTATGTCTGTTGTCTGTAAAAAGGATGTAGTCAAGTATAATTTATCAATTCACCATCAGATAACACAATTTCACTCGACGGTATTCAGCTAAAAAATTTCTGAAAAAATAAGAATACAAATCTTTTTTCTGGTTTTTCAAACTAGACTCAATTAAATAGCCCATTCACTGTTAAGATCACGTGCACATTAACATTAACATACAGAATTATCCAGAGTATTCATGAAGTGAAACGCAATCAGCTGGTATTATAATGAGGAAAACATAAAATACAATTGACGAAAAAGCTGGATTACGATCATTTCAATCAGTTTTATTGTGGTTTGATCCCTTCTTTGATCGATCACTTATTTCTTCGCCATTATATTCACCAGCGATCGGATTCTCATCTGATACGGATCGCAAATCAAATTTCACTTTTGCGCCCTTCGCTACCTAGAAATTTTGAACATTCCAAAAGAAACTCCTGATGCATTTGTTGAACATATCAAATCAGGTTTACGAGTAAGAGGTGCTTTCGAAATACATTTATTTTGCTGACTGTCTCAATGTTGAATCTGTCAACTCATTGCAGCAATCTTTTTTCGTCATTCATTTCATTGTCAAGCAATTCAATGATACTTCTGCTCAATTTGTTCTGAGGAATGACCATTTGATGTCCAATAGTCATGAAGACTGTAACTTTAGAAAATGAATCAATCAGAAAACCACAGCAAATCACAACTTGAGGACAAAAAAACGACTGCGGGAAAAAACAAAGTCACCTTAATCGGCTTATCTCCGGGGTCATCCATCCCCTTAATGATGAAATACAAATCAGCAAAGAAGACAATTAACGCCAACAAAACGCCGACTGATAATCGAAAAAGTAGCTCCGTTTGTAAACTTGGAACAGCATAGCCCATTCCTTCAATGAAAAGCAAATCCACAATTAAAATTCAACAACATCTCTCAGTAAATAAAAACATTTACTAACAACTTTAAATATCCTTCTTTAATTTTTGTCGAAATGAAAGTTTATCGATAATTACTTCATGCATTTGAGGTGACGAATACATAATTTCCATCTTAAATGTTATTCAAAATTCAAAAAGCTGACCAAAAAATCCGAATGCAAAAGCTCCACCGACTGTAATCAACGTATTGAAAACAACAATTGCTTGCCGATTAGCGACACGCATTTCCTTAAATTCAGCACATATTTAATCGAGGAAAGCTGACTAATCCTTGCAACATGCAATCTGATTTTCTGCCTATCAACTAGCATTCGAATTCGACTGACAACTGAATTCATCAATAAACTCAACATTTCATTGCAATACATATACGGATTATATAACAACTAGATTAGAATGAATAATTTCGAGGTATGTCTGTTGTCTGTAAAAAGGATGTAATCAAGTATAATTTATCAATTCGCCATCAGATAACACAATTTCACTCGAATTCGTTCTCATTGACGAAAATTTTTTTAAAGTGATAATTTTAAAAACAAAACCTCTCCAAAATTGTGCATTAAATTAGTACGGCCATACAGCTGATTGGGATCTACGGAACGAGTCATTTCACTGTAGATCCTCTCCTCCTAAAAATCATTCTAAGATAATTACCTCTTAAGATACGATCTATTTATTCCTCAGAACAACAGCGATTAGAGTTACTGGCAGTCCGAAGCGAAGGGTAATACCCGTCTATTACCCAATGACTGAGATATATATATATATATCTCAGTCATTGGGTAA